TCCGAAAGAAGGAGATAATTCCGTGTCTGACACGGGTATCAGGGCTTTAGGAGCAATCGTTGCTCATGGTGTCGGCCTATTTTCTGATGGTGTTAACGATGAAAACGGGTGAGTGTTCGGAATTTTGGAGAACTACTGTATCTTCATCGTTGTAGCACGATTAGAAGGAGCAAAACACTCAGAGTGGTCTAACTAGATTGTAGTACTTCGTTCACTGCCGTAAGTCGAAAAAATAACTTGAAATAAGTGTGCTGTGCGGAAGTTGTAATTCAAAAGTTTTTCGATTCAGTGCCGTTTTTTCAATTTGGGTAGATTTCACTTCTTTATACTCTGAGTCATCCGAATTCCATCTGTTCTATTTTTGTTGTTTATGAATATTTACATTATATTTCAAAAGGATTTTAATTGCATTTTTAAAGTTCCAGTTGGAGTTTTTCTAATCCAATGACGACCGATATTTTGAGTTTTTCTCGCTCAGAGAAATGAGTATTTGAACCTTTTCAATGCATTGACTGCCAATTTTTATACACTTCTGCACGCGTTACGTCTAAGATTTACAATACCTCGAGAGTGTTAAAGTGTAATACTTTTTTTTACTCTCAATTTAAAAATTTGAAAAAGAATAAATGCAAGCTTTTAGGACCCGGTATAGCCGTTTTCCTGTTACAAGTGGACAACAATCTTGTCCACAAAGATTTTCTCTGTTCGACGAATTCGTTTTTGGTCCTATAGGGTTCTCTCCCCATTGCATATGGGTTCTCTGCGACGATTTTTTCTGGTTCCTCGAATCTTATTGTAGAGTCCATATATACTGTACTGCTCCAATTTTTCAGAATTTTGCGGAAAGTGGCAAAATTCTTTGTGACGAGGCATGACATTCCGTCGTTGCGAACAGCATCCGAAGTCACGGGGGTCTTGCTTAAGAGTCTGTCGAAAATGAAGACCAGTGATTGGAATGGAACCATCGGAAATGTCGTACGATCCTTTATTGACTGTATCATTGGGCATGTTGAAAAGCTGGCCAAGGATTCAGTTCGTTTCATTCGATGCGCTCAGAACATCCATTTACATTTCCCTACGATTGCGGGGAGGTAAGTTTTACGTATTTTTTTATTCTTGAAAATTTATTCTTGCATTTCATCAGTAGAAATTAGGATGAACGAAAAATGAGTCGACTCAAAACATCTACAGTATTTTTTAAATTCTGTCCAATTTTTGTGATGAAATTTTTCGTTTTGTTTTCCTTTTCAAAAATTAATCCGCACTCCAGATTTTGATGTGCTTTTTAAATTCTTTTTTTAATATTTGAAAAAATTGAAATCGAATAAATCTATGAGTGAATGATTTAAGTAAAACTCGGGTTTATATTCATTCAGGTTCTTGAATCAGTTGACGTTCATTCTGCCATCATTGGATGTCGATTCGAAAGCGACTTGCCTTGACTTGATTGCTACGGGCATATGAGTGAATGATTTAAGTAAAACTCGGGTTTATATTCATTCAGGTTCTTGAATCAGTTGACGTTCATTCTGCCATCATTGGATGTCGATTCGAAAGCGACTTGCCTTGACTTGATTGCTACGGGCATTGATGTCCAGTCGACTTATTCCAATGCCGGGGAATTGGACAAATACTTTTTGGGGAAGACTGTCGAGGCGGACAGTCTCATAAAAGACAATCCCTCGGCTTTTGCCTGGTCTATTAAGCTGCAAGATACCATGAAGCTTAGGTAAACTGAAGAAATTCTCCTTTTCCGACAATCTTCTTCTGAATTAAATGTTACTTTTTCTCTCACAGCAACGCGTCATGTCAAGCAGCAGCTGTTCGGATTTTTGGTAAATTGATGCCAAAAATACTTTCGCTCCAAGGCGTTTTAAACAACGTTCGAGAACAGCTACCCCGAATATCAGGCCTAGCGAGCACATCTCGACGACAAATGCTGCAAACGCGGCTTACCAGACGGTTCACGCATATCTCGTTTTCTCGTCCTTCGAATATTTTAGTGCTGGACTGATGGAAACGTGTTTTTTTGACAAAAAGCCAACAGTTTCCGTGAGAACCGAATTTCATGTTCAAATACTGTAATTGATTTGAACGAGGATGATCACACGATTCTCTTCATCAAATACGAATGCTGCGCTAAAACTTAATGTGATCAGGTTTTTTTTCATGCCCCTCATCCTGTTTGGGTGCTGTCTTTATTTTTTTTTTCAAAGAAAGGAACAAGTAAGCCGTCTAATTTCTGCAATAAAATTCGTTCCGGCACGACGTTTCTTCTGTGACTCCGGTCTATGTTTTCTAGAATTTTCATCCCTTGTCGAAAATCAATAACCTGATCCAAAGGCTCGGAACATTACTGATTGGCTTAAACTGACATGATTATCAAGTCTCGAAGTTGATTAACCGGAATTCCTGAACTGACACGCTGAACACATTTTGAGCTAACGCGATTAAACGAAGCCAAAAACTGATATGAACAGCGGATTTTTTGTTGATGCACGTTAAACGATTGAGGTGACACCTATGTAATGGAAAAGGAAATTTCGGAGTTGGAATACTGATCGTAGAAGTGAGAAGCGCTCCATTTTCTGCGTTGTATAGTCAGAAGAAGGAGCATTCTGATTATTTGAATTATTTTTCAAATGCTACTTGATGCTAATAACGAATTGGACCTTCGTCTTCATCTTTTCATCAAGATCCGAACTTTTCTTGGCTGCATTGCGTCGCGGTGTTGCAGACTCTGACTCGTTCCTTCGACACAAGTGTCTTTCCTTTTGGTCAGACAAAGCGGATCAATTCCACTCCATCGCCGGTCGACTCATCGACGTCCTGCTCGCCATTCACGCTGCGGAAACCGAGTCCCGTCTTTTACCCAACGTACTTTACCTCGTCCTGCAAACCACGGCCCAGAGTCCCGACTATGAAAGGTCGCCATTTCCTCGTCCGCTGCTGAATGACGCCGAATATACGCCGTATGCCGTGGTGGCGACTGCGCGAAGAATGCGTGGCTCAGCGAAGCCTTTGTTTGCTTCTGTGGGAAGACTGAGTAGTCGATTGGGTGGTTCTCAGGCGAGTGTGTTTGAGGCGACGGTGATGAGGAGTATTAGAAGCGGAAGTGTGGGTGAAAAACGAGGAGGCGGAGAAATGGTTCCTTCGGGCAGTGTGAATGGGCATTTTGATATCACGCCCACGCAGGCTGATGGAGGTGAGAACATCTTTGTAATTCGTTTCAGTTTATCATGAAAACCTGAGGAATTTGATTGGGGAAATATTGCTCTCTCGAGCTTTTTTTGTTTGTTGCGTAATTTGATGAATGTAATAAACAATATACTGTACAGTCAAACCTCTTAGAGTCGGACTTCAAGGGACCAGCAGAAAAATTAAGAAAAAAATCGAGTTAGAGAAGCAAGCATTTTTGTTGAGGAAAAGAAACAAGAATAACAGGAAATGATAAGTGGTGATACTCTGGGCCTTGAATTACTTCTTGAATGAGTTGACAGGATGGTGAAGTTGAAGGCAAGGGTTTATTTGCCCAATTGATCCCTCACTTCCTTCCAAAGGGCATCAAGTTAAATTTGTATTGCTTTTATCTTCCCTGTTTCAATAAAATAATAGGCAAAGGTCTTCTAGAAAATTCGACTGATGAGGATTTGATGGGGTAAGCCTTTGAGTAAAGGCTTTAATGCATAAGGGTTTTTAATGCATTTTTTCTTTTAAAAAAATCAGATGGACAGTAAAAAAAAATAAAAATAAAAAATCGGAGTTCCTGATTATCGAGGTTCACTTATATGTTTAAGATACGCCGAATATTTGCTTCTTAGGGATTCAAGCATGACGTTTTATCTGCTTGTGAATTTCGATCGGTCGGGGATTCTTTTTTTTAAAATCCAGTTCACAGGAATGAGATTACTTGGCGATGCTTTCATAAAAAAAAAGATTATGACTTACCTGAAACGAAGAAAATTCTTACCGAGTCCGGTTGATCAAAAAATCAAACGGTCCTTCAGTTCTCAGAGAAATAAAAATGTGATTGTTTCCTTGGGATGATATTTTGCCATGAAATCAGCTCATTCAAAAGGAAACTTCGTGTTTAAAGCTGAAATATTTTTTCAAATGTTTCGCAGGGATGAATTGGGTTGCTAAGCAAGATGAAATTAGCTTATTAAAAATAAAATGTGTGTTCAAAGTTGAAATACAGTATTTTCAAAATTTTCATTCGCAGGGATGGATTGGGTCACTCAGCAAACGTTTGAGAATCCGTCATTTGATGGCAGTCAGCTTCCATCCTATTTAACGCCGGCATCTCGGCGTAAAACTGTCAAACGTACCCATGATGTGGCTTTCAAATTGCCTAAAGCCCCCGGAAGTAGCGATGGTAACACGGGAAATGGTTCGCTTTACCCGTTGTTTCATCGTTGAGTAAATTTTAATACTGTATTTCCCTGTGATTAATAGACAGTTTCAAGCTCATCAAGCGGAGGTTTGTCAAATCCGAAGACGTCGCCGATCGTTCTCTTGTCTTCAAGAAAATGGAAGAACGTCGAAAGGTGAAGGAAGAGCGAGAATCGGAGCTGAAACGTATTCAGCGTGTTGAGGAAGTGCATTTACTAAAAAATTACGCAGCTGGACCTGTGCCGGACATTCAAATGCCTTACAAGGATCTCGTCAGACCTTTGCAAGCATTGGCCGAGGCGAGTTTCATTTTTAAAAGCTCTTTTATTCGAGAAATTTTGTTTTCAGAAATATTGACACTCTGATTTTCAAGTGAGACAAATTTTTCAAATGCCCAATGAAAGGGATGTTGGCGATGACGTAACTTTTTAAATCATTTCTATCCTGAATTTATTTTTACAATTTTATCCAGCGTAAGAAAATTTCAAGAATTGCCGAAATTCGTTAAAACGGACGTTCACCCGGGCTGTGTTTTTGTCAATTCAGCTTTTCTACAACGAAATGTCTTCCAAATAAATTATTGCTCTGGTCTCGCACACATTGCTGTACAAATTGGTCTAACTGAAGACATGTCTGGTGGTTTCAGTTGGATGGAGTTGTGGCAAAAACACTTTTCTCGGCCATCATCAGTGGAATCGCCAGAGAAACGAAAATGAAAGACTTTTTGAAAAAATTTGGCGCAGGGGTTGACCTCGTTCTGAAATCGTCCACATTACCGCATGCTCCAGTTGTTGCATCAATCTGTGACGTTTTATGGTCCGTTAATGGAAAAATAGACGTGGTCTCCGGACAGCTAGTGCGATGTGAGTCGGGAAAATGTTTGCCAAATTGTTTATTTGCGACGAGATTATCATTTTGATGGTTTTTCCTAGGCTCAAATAGCACTGGAGAACAGTTCGCTGCTGCAGCTGCACTTGAAGAAGCGTTGATCTCATTCAACGGATAAAGCACCGTAAAGTTCCTTATGCTGAAGCTCTATCTAAGAGGCTTCTGCTTCTGCCCTTTCGACTAGACCGAGACAGATGACCTCACGCATATAAAATAAAAAAGTACACGAAAATCGAGTCGAATTTTTTTATTCGTCCTCTTATTAATTCGACGTAAATTTTGTTAAGATTTTAAATTTTTACCTTGAGGGATTTCGCAGAGGAGGGTAATTTTTTTCTGGTTTCTCCAGCCTCTCCTGAGCTCGAGAATTTCTTCCCGAGTATACCAAAGTGTCTATTGAACTTCAAATTTTAGTCGGGTTGTCTTTCAACTGGAATGAAGTTTGGTTCTGATAGATCAGTTGAGCGATTCAAGTGACACCTACCAGATGTTCCAGACATAGAACAACGAAGTCCTAATCACAAGAAAAGAAATCTGAAAATTATTCGTGCTTTTTCTCCTAATTTTTCAGATTATACGACAGCTTGAAAGAGCCGGAAGTTTGCAAAGGAATCCTGAATATGATCAAAGTCACAGATAAATTTTCCGACGCGGTTCAATCGGCTCTCGCAAAAAACTTCGCCGATTTCAAAAAATATCAAAAGGAAATTTTGCAAGGAAAAGGTTTGGTAACGAAAGACGAAGCCGGGGTTTTGAGCAGTTTCTCTGATCACGTAAGTAGGATCCTTTGGAAGAGTCTTCTTACAATTTTATTTTCGTCGGAATTTTTTTTC